TTTTTTTTTTTTTTTTTTTTTTTTTTTTATTCTAAATCGGTCTTGTAGCGGTATAATCATTTTTCGTTTCCATATAAATATACCGTTTTCGCTTCCACTCCGCCTCCGCCGCTGCTCGCCACCTCCCCTTCGCACGACCGCGAAAAATATTATTATTGTGTGTTTTCAACGTGGTAATATCATTATTGTTATTATTATTTACCAACTCCGGTGACGGTATAAATATTATATTTTACGATAATGCACAATACCACCACCACGGCGGGGCAGCGCGAGTATCCGCGTTACCACTATATATACTATGGGCACACACACACACACACACACACACACACGCACGCATAAACAAACTACCTACTTAATATTATTATTGTTTACTTCGTGCGTCTACCATACAGACTTTGATAAACGGCGGACGACGAAGGAGATAAACCGGACGGAAAATAAAACTAATGCGGTCATTTTTTTTTCATTTTTTAAACAGTTATCATAACAATTGGGAAAAATCAGGAAAAACGAGAAAATGTACGTACGCGTACAAAAGAAACTTAGCTCTGAATCGTTTTTCGTTAGAAAGGTTTATCGTTATATAGAGATATAAATTAAATTTTCCTCTAAATTCTACATTGCCAACTTCTCACCTACAACACTGGTCTACCAATATAGCGAAGTATGTCCGTCTTTTTTTTGATTATTTCGATAATTTAAGCACATTAAAAAATTATTTTTACCATTAATTTGGTTTATTTATTCGAATATGTTTTAGTGCTTAAAGGGTTTATAAAGCGGTTTATTTTTTGTTGATTTTAATTGATAGAATTACAAGTCAATTAACAATTGAAAGTCTCAATATAAAATCATGAGATATGACTGTTTTTATTCAATGATGAAGATGTAATTATATACAGTTGAACAACACATACGACGAGGCGAAATTTTTGAAAAAAAAAAACTATAAGATAATTAAATATAACTAATAATATAATGCAAAATAACACTAACTAAAAAAAAATCGTTTTGTAAATGTTTTATATTTATCATTTTTTTTATTTTGAAAGTTTACTGTTTCTGTTAATATTTTTCATTACAATTTACCGTGATTATGTTATAGATTAGGTAGGTATATGGGTTAATCGCGTACGATTGTTCCTGTTTTTTTTTTTTTTTTAATCTGAAAATCGATATCTAATAAATTAAGTTTTTTAAATGTATACGCAAATATACGTTAGGTAATCAAAAAAAAAAAACACCCCGACCCCTGCTCATAGTAAATAACGCTGTAGCACATCGGGCGACAAACACTCCGTACTCATTATTCACGTATTTTAAGTAAGCGCATAATAATAATATTGTCTGACGCGGCTTGTTTTCCGTTCCCGCACCCGAGCGATTCTTCGTCCATACGGAAATAATAATAACATACCTAATCCACTTATTATACGGACATGTCTGATATTTGTGCGATTATACGTTCTAAAAAAAACCCATTATGTTTATAGTATAAAACCTTGTTTTTTTTTTTTTTCTTCGTAGGAAATTATTTTTTTTCTCATGTCGAAAACAATGAGACGCATAACTGAAAACGTATACCCGTACCTAATGCCTATACGATACCTATTCCTAATAGCTAATACATACTTACTCAATTAACCGTTCGGTTAGGGTTTTTGCTTAACCTAAATAATATAACAATAATAATAGTACCTGATATTACGTCTGGCCGTCGTATATATTAAAACATTTATTTTAATAATATTAATTAGCTAGGCACCTATACTGTTTACAAGATTTTACACCGATAGAGGTTATTGTAATATTTAGGAGGTATATAACTTGTATAACGATCTAGCTATTACGGTTACGGCCGCTGTGTCTTAACCTAACACAAAAACCATGAAAAAAAAAATACATATATATATATACTATCGCCGGGGCATAATAATAGTAATTTATTACACCTACTATTATTATTTTACATCTAATTATCATTGTGTTTTAAAATTAAATTATTATTTATCTTACAATAATTATCAAGGGTACAAATTAATAATTAATAATTGATCAAAATTAATTTTCATTGTTGACCTTTGATTTTGTTTTTATTTAATTAACTTAATTGTTTTTACGTTTACTGAATTCAATACAAACAATTAATTTAATACGGCATTGCCGCACGCAGCAATCGTTTTGTTTTTGTCTAACGTGATCCGAAACTTACAATCTATAGGCGCGTCTGCGTCAACATTAAATTTGAATACCATCGTGTAGACTATAAGGTCCAGACATTGTTCTTGTTATTATGTTTAGGTAGAATGGTTAAATCTTTACTCTACACGAATACATGAGACGTTCTGGGTTATGCAATGATCATCGCCATATTTTCAGAAAATCACGAACACTCGGTTTTCAATATCTATACGATAATAACTAGTTAAGACACACAAAAAAAAAAAAAAATAAATAAATTAGTTTTATAAGTTAATTAAATGTTCAAATTAACTTTTGACTTAAATTAGTAGAGTTAACTTTGCCGCCGAATAAATGTTATTCGTAAACTTGCCTGACCCTGTAATTATGTATACTTGTATTTAAACGTCGACCACCGTTGTGCGGTTTAAACTTTTAGAGCGATATTATTATTATTATACGATAAAACTCCACAATGCCGTGAATTGTTTGTTCGCTGAAAAAATGAATAAAAAACAATTTAGCGACCGATAAAAAAAAAATGAATAAATAATCTAGCGACTTCATTTTGTAATGGCCGTCCGTGTACACTCGACTCGACTGCTGGCGCGGAATCTGTTCGCTTTGCGTCATTTGTTTGCTGACGTGATTGCGCTACCGATGGTAAAACAGCGGACGAAGACCAAAGGAGAAAACGGTTTAAATATGTACGCGTATAAAATTATTATTATAAATAACACGAGAGAACGAACGGTTTTTTTCCCCCTGAACCGAGAATTATATTACAATTTATACGCGCCATCCGCTGAAAAGCTCTTTGCAATTTATTATAAAACACGTAACAAGATCTTGTTAGTTCTCGGAAAGCAAGGAAAAGCGGCCGTACTCGTATTATAAAATGCGTATATTTATTATTTATTCGACAAAAATACGTATGCCGCAGTTTAAAGTGCACGCGTAGAATGGTTTTTCATATACCTAATACTATACACCTACTTATCAACCATATTATTATATACGCGATGCTCGTTGATGTAATACAAAAACTGAAATGTCCGCGTCGAACGATATAATATAAAATTGTTGCTGCACAGCGGCGGTTTCTGCGTTGGCTCTGCACGAACGTCCGACGATCAATCGTTTTCACGAAATTAAAATAATAAGCGCGTGTGTTGATCCACGTCACGTGATTATTTTTTTTTTAATTCAGATACATAAAAAAAACCGCGTTTACATTAAATTCTATACACTTCAAAACGTATAAATACGCGTATTACGCATTATTATGTACAGGTAACGGGTAATAGGCACGGAATTTAGTTATAGTCACAGCGACGCGTCCGGGAAATGTTCAATGAGACGGGATGCGTTGAACATATAATAATCCTGACGCACGAACGAATTATTGTAAAATCTTCTCCTGGTTTTCCTGAGCCGACAATGAGAATTCAAAATCCAAATCCAAAATGGCGAATTTGTATTAAATAAACCAAGCGCTGTTATTGTTTGTACTTGGCTAAACTATACAGTTTCAACACAATTATCCAGACAAATGTTATAATATATTTCGCTTGCCACGCATAGCATACGTGCAAGATTATACGTATTAAAACTATACATTTAATATGCCAATAGGATATAACTGCACCAATATACTACAACACGATTTGTCCGATAAAAATATCAAAATATTCGACAAATTGACGGCGAGAATAATTTACGAGCCTAAACCCTAAAATAATATAACTACGTAGTGTTCGCGTACGCTTATACCAATTATTATTTTCTCGACATTCGATTGTGTACGCGTACACGTGTTAAACGTCCAAAATCGATAGTATCAGATTGCTATATTGTGATTTGATAACTTTTTGGCACAGAGGAAATTTTATAATATATTACGAACTCTGTGAGTACCTGCTTCTATTATTAATTTTACCGAAAGAGTTTATGAATTCTGAATTCCTGTCACAATCGGTTTTTCAAACACGATATGTACAAGTATTGAGTATACTGTATTATTTTGTTCCGACGAACATATTCAATTTTTTTTTAAAATTTTTACAAATTAAATATGCTCCGATGAAGTTTAAACCGAGTAGACAACAATATCTGGTCTTTTATATTCGATTTTAGTTCTTCTTCTCGAGACTGTCGGTCACTATAGCCGTCCCGTTACACGTCCAACTCTTCATGACAGAACTTCCTGTCTGACCCTCCATTTAAGAAATTGCACATACATTTCTCCTGCAACTTAAACGTGCCGGTCTTCCAAAAGGTCTGGTGTTTTCCCCAGAAGAGCCTCTTTCTAGAGCCGTTGTTTTTCCTAATATTCACCGCGTATCGTGGGCTTTTTTTCTATCACTGGTTCAAAGACGATCCGTAGGATTCTCCTTTCTAAACCAATAGCAATCGTTATAGTTTTCTGTGCTCCGTTTTCCTTAACAGCCGGTGCTTTGTGCTCGTAGGGGTTTGTGCTCGAAAAAGGTTACGGAAATCGTATCGTGTATAATTTATATTCGTAACGTCAATGATAATAATTAATACGCGTTCAAGTACGTGCGAGTAGAGCATGCGACAATATGTAAACTGAAAACGATTATCGTCGTCAAACACACGACGGTAACACGACTGTATACACAGTAATCCGTTTAAGTATAGCCACACGCAAATGCATTCAATTTTTAAAAGAAATTGTTGTTTCGATAATCGAAGAGACGAGCGGTTCTAAAATATTACGTTTATATTATGTTTGTGCCACCCACTATTGATTTTTAAACGGCAATTGGCCACATTAAAAAATCCGTAAAAAGACCGGGTATTAGTCAAAATAAACGTTATGGTGTTGACTTGTTTTTAACGATTCGCTGTCGAGTTCGGGTAGGTAGAGAGCAATATTATAGCGGAGCGCCGTCGCTTGAAAATCAAAAGTGGGCAGTAGTTTCGAGTCCGAAAATAATTGCGACAAAAACTTACGGTAACGCAACGTCATTGTAGACGTCTTGTACACTGTCGGAACAACGACAAAAAAAATGTTAAAAAAAAATGCTAAACTGTTCGAAATATCGAGTGTACGAATCACTCTGTATTATTATTTAGGTTTTCCTTCCGCGGCGGCGGCGGCTTGCGTTCGTGTCGTTAAAAAATAATTATACGCGGAGACGCGCCGCCGAGAAACGAATCTATTAAGTATTGCCGACGCGTATTTAATATAACAATAATATAATGCCATTGTTGTTTATACGGCGCGCGTGACTCCTGGCCGGTCCAAGGTTATAACGCCCGCGGCCGGGAGAAGAGCCGCCCGACAACTCGAGCGGCCGTTCGGCGGGACCGTCTCCGAAACTGCGTTGTTATTCGGCAACTGTACGTACGGGCAGGTAGACTGTACCGCGCGCATTCGAGAAACGCTCACCGGGGCGCTATCGAGGGGAGAGGGGGAAGGGGTGGGGAGGGGTGGCGGGNGGGGGGGGGGGGAGGGGGGGGGGGGGGGGGGGGGGGGGCGGGGCGGCTCCGGGCGGGCCCTAGGAGCCGCGATCCCCCGCGCCAAAACCCATGGTTTTTTTTTTTACGTCCGGAAAAAACTCTACAACGGATTACGCGGTCGATCGTCACGGACACGTACGGGCGTGTACGGTCAGAACGGGTGTCCCGCTCGTCGATAATATTAAGTACAAATCAACTACGGAATACAATGCGCTTCTTTCCCGTTTCGCGCGCCGTTCGGGCGCTCCGCAGCTTCTAACTAGAGCCATCCAAACATCTCGGCCCTCTGCACGTACTCCGTATTCGTTCCGTTTTTTTAATCACTTCGGGTCACATTTAACTCGGTCCGTACACCGTTATCGCGGTCTTCTCGCGGGTCGGTTTTTTTTTTTTATTCGGCTTGTTAACGAGTGCCCGTTCAATCAATCCACCCTCTGCACGTTATGCGTGTCCACTCTGACCGTTTTGACCTTGAAAAAATCTTGTAAATTGGGCGCATCATGCGATCTGTTTAAGTCTGCGTTTTTTCTCCGCCCGTATACACCAATATTGGTGTTTGACATTGGCTCGTATATTTTCCCAAGTATTTTCCTTTCGAAAGTCAAAAGTTTAATCTCGTCACCTTGTGTCGCGGACCACGTTTCATATCCGTACAATACAATGGGACATAAGTAGGCAATGTATAGTTTGAAACACAAAATATGCATTTTTTTTATACAGTTTTCTGAAAAATATGACTAAGCCCCCCCCCACCCTGCTGGGTACGATCTTTTGTTAAGTATGATAGTTGATTGAAAAATACCTGTAGTACGCCTGTTATAATACGAGTGTATCCTCGCCCCCTGCTCTTTCCGGATGGAGCACGAGCTTCGAAATAATAGTATTACCTCGGGTACTCGGGAGCAGATTAGAACGACGTGAATCGAGAGACGATATTCAAGGTCCGTCGATTTTTTTTATTACACGGAAATCAGTGATGTGACATAAATCCGGATAGTCCGAAAATCCGAAAACTCCAATAATTTCGGATGTCGGCATTTACATTAATGATTTGTTTTCGAATCGTACGAAAAATACCAATAAGAATCGAAAATCAAAGTTTCGATAATCCCGATAATCCGGATTTCCGAACGTCGGCGAATCCGGGTGTTTCCCACCGCCAAAAAAAATTCAAAATAATGTTTTAACGTCACTGTTAAAACGATTATTATAGCGAGCTACAATACAACCGATGGCGCTGACAATCTAGGGAAACCGTATAAATCGACCAAACGTTCCGTACGAAATCATTATTATTACTGTTAATTACTATTAGATATTACGTATAACATTTTAAAACGTTTGTGGATATTTCAGCGTTAATTTTTTTCTTTATCTTATCACGTTTCAAGACGGCCAAGGCTCGTGATGAGTTATTGCCCGGAAACGAATATAAAACGATAAGGATCGTTTTCGGTAACGCGGGCCCGGTCGCGTATTAACATAATATACTGCACGCGTAATAAAAGCCTACCCGGCGTGGTTTCGCATAACAAATCGGGGTTTGTTTTCGGTGGAAAATCCGGCACGAGGTCACGAATGGAAGTGGCCGGAAACCCCTAGATAAACCAATATTACGATTGAATGTATGGTAGTAGTATTCGAATATTACAAATTTAGGTACTGGTATAGAAATTACGCTTTCAGACCGTTATCGTTTTAACCTGATTATTTTTGGACATCCATCGCCTACCCGGGCAAGGCGATGTATGT